ATCATAATCGCCTAAAATTTCGCTATCAACTGCTTCTAGAGTTCCAATTTCGTGACTAGTATCATTTGATTCATCCTGTATAATATACCTAGGAATATAATTGTATTCTGAGTCACATTAAGAACCATGAGTGCTGAAACATATGTCTTCCCAATAGCTTTTTAGTCACTCCTTCACATGTGAATTCGAACTTCCGTCCGTCCCTTAAGCTACGTCACACGGGTCTCGCCCCAGACCCTTTTCCGGCTTTTTCTCGGGCGCGACAATTTTTCGCTAAAAGCCAATTTTTCAAGGTTTAGAGCCTGATATCTCGCGAATGAAAAGAGAAAACCGAAAAATGTTAAAGAACCTATTAACTAACTTTTTGTCCTCTACCAAATATCAAAAATAAATTTTTGTGACATAAGCACGTCGAGTCAGCAGGTACATTTTTTTCTGAGCCACAATGGTCAATTTAGTGTCAATCATCACAACAGGCGGTTCGATATCACTCACCACAACAGGCAGTTTAGTATCACTCACAACAATTGGCGGTCCAATGCTGTGCGCCTCGGCAGGCAAATCAATATTTTGCTCAGATCGACAACAAATATCGAAAGTGAACGGTGAACTCATTCTCCAAACACGATACAATAACAAGTTTAAAGTTTTGGTAGGTCTCTCACGGACAAATACTACACGAAACCCAGCGGCAAATTAATCAAATGATAAGCCCGATTATTCATCGCTTTTATTAATACATTTTGTTGCCTTATAATAAAATACTATATTTTAATGTCGTTGGTGACCATTGAGTCAACTAAGGCCTGTTTCAAACGTCGAGCTTCTCATGCGCCGAACGCATTTACAGAAACATGCGAGGTCTAAAAGGTTTTCATAGGCTACAGTAAATTATTAAAGGCACGTACATCGCTTACCTCTAGACTTAACATCAAAACAGTCATTGCCTTGATTAATGTTCCCTCGGATAAAAATTGCCATAATTTGTAGATTGCTTCAGCGTCAGATTGTGTATTTTTTTTAAAGTATAGGAAAGAAATATATGTGTGCATCATCCTGGAACTGCTTCCTGTGCGCTCGGCAAGCATAATTAGTAATTTTCGTAACCCCCCTGAATTGCTGACATACAAACACAAAAAATCGAGATTCAAGCTGGTCTATTGGTACCGTCGAGAACAGTGTGCTGCCTCGCTAAGGTTCGGCAGCAATTAAAATAAATAAAACAACGAAATATCTTTCAAAATGCCGCTTTTAATTACTTTTCCTCGTGTGTCATCAAAAGCACTTAAGCTTCAACAATGAATTTCACGTTTGTAAATGAACACTAAGAATTTAACAATAGTATCTTGCACGGTATCTAGAAATGATGGATAAATGGGTTCTTCTAAATTTCCACTTTGTATCCCGAGGCGTGGGTATTAATTCCACTTGGCTATTTACACCGTCCCGGGGAACAATCTCGTTCATAGCTCTGGAGAAATAGTGTTTGTATATACTGTAGTCTGTTGGTATTCATAATACTTATAATCTCCTCAAGAACGAGATAATGTTTGCTGTGATTGTAAAGTGTGGACTTGTAATTGGTTTCTTTAAAACTGGACTAAAGGATTAAAATTCCTTGACACTGGATTATTAACATTACTTTCATGCATGTAGGCTATATTTGTGCTTTAGATTTATACTCTCCTGTCAGATTATATGGTATATACTATATTGAAATTTTCTAAATAATAACTTTATAAAATTATATAGTGGGCTAGAGGCCTTCTAAAAATCTGTAGAGGCTTTTATTATTTATTTAACTCACTAATTTTACAATGTGTGATCAATTATTAAGCCAAATGACGCTTATAACGTTTGTGAATCAGAATGTATAATTCTGTGTGAGGTGGCCCTGATTTGGTAAGCGTCTAACTGACATGACTTTACACGCATTGACATTTAGGTACTTATTTTAGCATATAGGTATCACTGCTTCCCTGCTGAAAACATCCTGTGTCACTGTTACACTGGGCATAGCTAGGTTACCAGGTGAGGTAGATAGTTGAAATTTTAAGATTGCAAGCTCCTTATAGAACTAATTACTTCAAATAACTGTGGTTTACTGGGAAATCTCCATGCAGTATCCAGATACGATACACTATATATATACCTCTCAAAACATGGGATAGATCATGTTGTTGCCATGCATATATAGTTCCAGTGCATCACATCAAGGAAGGCTTAATTATATTTCCCAATCAAACTGTATGCCTTTAACCATATCTCCTCTATTAAGTTCCAAGTAGCTTACATGTATCCGGCATGCTTGAGGACTGTTCATTGGAAGAGGGGCCTGAGAGTGTGATTGAATTAGACAATCACAGGAACATCAAGTTTAATAATGGTAAACAGTTCAAGATAATTAACAAATCTATCCAGCGCACATGTATTTTTTTGTGAAAAAGAGGGGCGATTGGAGAGAGAGCATGTTAAAAAGGGTAGACTAATGTTTAAATCTTCAGGAAATTTCTCTGTCTGTCCGCTAAAGGTCTTGTCACACTATTGCGTATGAGAGAAACGTGTGAGAAGCGTATGAAAATTAATGAAATAATTTTCATACGCACAAAAATCCTTTGAAATGCCAGCGTATGAGTATCGTACATCTGGCGTACCTCTAGCGTATTCAACGTGTGCCTAGAGTATGCTTATCGTATAAAGCATATACGTCCGATATGCACAAAATTTTTGAACATGCTTAAAAACATTTTCTGTCTCACTGCGTATGCCAGCGTAAGCGACCGTACTTGAAACGAGTATACAACCTATGCCTGACGTACCCCTAGCGTATATGTCAGCGTATACCGGCGTATGAGTGATATTTTTCATACGCTGGCCGCATACGCTAGTACGATACGCAGTAGTGTGACAGGGCCTTAAACCACAAGGGTATAGGCAAGTTAATTTAGTATAATTTGTTATTTTCGCAGCCATAACACTGAGATCAGCAATATAAGACTATAATAGAAGTTATAATATAATGGAAGTTATAGAACATCAGCAGCAAACGTTAAAGTTTTACAAATTCTTTTTTAAACTGAATATCATGACAAAATTTTGGACTTAATGTTCGATACCTTTACTGTTTGTCTAATGTTTATGAGAAATCAGAAATATATTGCGCTCGTTTCTTCCGACGTAGAGAGCGCGATTAAGTAATAGAATATATTTTTAAACTATAGTAATTACGGGAACCACTCAGTATTTCATATAATGCAAAAGAACTGTAACTCCAAATAACATTTTGATTTATTTAAATCGACGTTTCGACAAAATTGTAGTGATCATCATTACCCTAATGATGACTGCAAATTGCAATTAGTCGAAACGTGCATGCAGTTCAATCGGAGTTGTTGTTCTTTTATATTTTATTATACAAGTAATGTCATAAGAAAATGAAACATCATATGCTTTCGACTAAATAAACAACATTAAAAAACAGCATTTGTGTTTTTCTAATTATAAGTTATATTGAGATTAATTTAATTAACAGAAGATGGCAGCTATATGGAGGATGTGGTTTCTCTTTTTTCAGTGCTTTGCGACAAAAGGCCAATTTTTAGAAAGGGCGTCAAATACAGGCTGGGGCTTATAAAGTAAATGTGGCATACAAAACCCTCACCCCAAAGTAAATCACCGAAGTTTGTTTGTAGTTTTGCATGGTGATAAATTAAAAGTCTCCTTCTTCGTGCGAAAATTTAAACGTCTGAAATCAGCGGCCATGTTATTTTCATTTTGTTCCATAATGCATCATATGAGATTTTTATATAGCTAATTCCACTACCATATACTCATAAAATACACTAAATGCGAATTCTGTGGTTTCAAATTCGATGACGTATTATTGATCGTTCATGCATGTCTAATATCATGCACTAATATCACATCGGAGATTATCAACTATGCCCACAAGGGCTTCGGCCAGGGTACGGCCTGCGCGGGGGGATTGATTTTTACAAAAGCGCAGTGTGGAGTGACATACACGCGTTCACCTTTGGAAACATCATCCTTGACGACGTTCCAGTATACACAGGAAAATATGAAACATTTCCATACTGTGAACATTTTACAGACATTTTATAGAAATACCTAAAACATGTTTGGAAATTCAATTTCCAAGTTTTGCACACTTCTATAATATGGATATATTTTCACGACGAAACGTGAAAATTTTCTAGAAAACGAAGTATCGAAATGGTTCGTTTATTCCAGTGATAACCCCTTGCATGAGAAGGTCTCTATATATTTGTTTTGTATGTTATATTGAACACTATTTTATCTGCATGTGCTGGTCAGTAATGTACTCAGGTGAATATGATGCTTGTGATGTTACTCTGAGTGTATATCCACACTGGGCAAGCTTGAAAAATATGCCTGTCCACGGTGGGAATCTAACCTACTGTACGACCTTTGGAATACTAGCCCAATGCTCTGCCAACTGAGCTACGCGGTCAGGTCGGTTCGAGTATGTGATACATCAACCAGCACAGAAAAAAATCATGATTACTAGTCGATTACATTGAGATCGAAGGAAGTAGAATCTGTTCCGAAATATCACATACTCGAACCGACCTGACCGCGTAGCTCAGTTGGCAGAGCATTGGGCTAGCATTCCAAAGGTCGTAGGTTTGATTCCTACCGTGAACAGGCATATTTTTCAAGCTTGCTCGGTGTGGATATACACTCAGAGTAACATAACAAACATCATATTCACCTGAGTACATTACACCAGCACAGAAAAAAATCATGATTACTAGTCGATTACATTGATATCGAAGGAAGTAGAATCTGTTCCGAAATATCACATACTCGAACCGACCTGACCGCGTAGCTCAGTTGGCAGAGCATTGGGCTAGTATTCCAAAGGTCGTAGGTTTGATTCCTACCATGAACAGGCATATTTTTCAAGCTTTCTCGGTGTGGATATACACTCAGAGTAACATAACAAGCATCATATTCACCTGAGTACATTACACCAGCACAGAAAAAAATCATGATTACTAGATTACATTGATATCGAAGGAACTAGGATCTGTTCCGAAATATCATATACTCGAACCGACCTGACCGCGTAGCGCAGTTGGCAGAGCATTGGGCTAGTATTCCAAAGGTCGTAGGTTCGATTCCCACAGTGGACAGGCATATATATTTTCAAGCTTGCTCGGTGTGGATATACACTCAGAGAAACATCACAAGCATCATATTGAACACTCTTCCACATTCCGTGAACTAAAACACACTTATATAAAAAAAAAAGATACCTGTGAAAGTTGGCTAACGCCGCCAAAGATATTCTTGTTTTCAGATTTCATGGTGCATGGAAGAATGGAGACCATCATTTGTTTAAAATTAGAGTTTGTACTACTGCTTGTTGAGCTTCCTCGGGACATATTTTCTGCCACATAAGCATTCCATGCTTTTACCAACATTGGAACTACGTCACCATATTGCCCGGATGAAACTTCGATAACTATGAAGTAAAATGTTCTCAACTCTCAGCAAGTTAATTAATTAACGCTTGTGGTATTTTGCAATTGGTGCATCAACATGCCAAATACTATGTATAACACGGGAAAAGAAAATTTTGAAGCAGTCAGATAAGCTATTTCTTGTATTTTGACGAGTTTTCCAACAAGAAATTAACCTTACATTAGTTCTTGAAAATCAAGCCAGCTGATCTTCTGGGACTGGTCAAACCGATCCCTGCAACCATGCTGTTTTGTAACATTTTTTCCCACCAAATAATGGGGCAGGATATTTCCCCCCCCAGTTTGTTAGTGCAGGTATTTCTTTTTGTTTAGAATAGCCTTGCAGGCTATTCTAAATTGGGGTGATTGCAAATCACCCCCCCCCCCTCTCAAAAGTTAAATGGTCGGCCCCTAATTATGTAAAAATTGGCTAATTATACGTTCAGTTTACTCTGTCCATGATGAAAACATAACCTCCTGGCGGAGGAAAATATAAAACAAAACATACTGGGACACAAAACATCTTATATTCGCCCAGCGTTTTAGTGATCAATACGGTAAATCTGTTACGACTTTATCCCAAAATCATTATTAAAACTACTATATAATAATGACGTACAGTCATCTCGCCTGGATGGCATATATATTTAAATACTATAAACAAGCTTTCGTTGGTATATAGGAATGCAAGTACCTGAAAAATATAAGGTAGTTGTATCCCTACCAACGAAAGCTTGTTTTATTATTATTGGCACTACCTATATAATTACCTACACTAGCACAGACAGTTCAAGAATATATAAATACTAGCTCATTTTGCAATCACAGTATGTTATATGCATACAATTTGCTTTAAAATGCAATGCTTTGACATGCAATGCTTCAATGTACAGTAAAACCTCTATAATTTGTATTACATGAAGTACGTGTAACATCACAATAGCGTTGCGTCATTATGTAAGACATGTAATATATATCCCCAAGGTTGGCAACTAAATACAAATTTTAAAATGTATACACAAACTTAATGACGAAAAAACTCGTACATAAACATCGAAATTCATTAAAAAAAACTAACTCACTGTGGTAAGAAATAACTGTAATACTTCTACATTGTGTTTTTTTGTTCTCTCATCACTTTAAAACGAGTTAATTTTTCGAAAATTCCGAGGAAAGCTCATCAAATTCGTAATTCAATTTAATTAAAACTATGCGGGATGATGGCTCCCGGCGTTACGTCACAAAATAAAGCTCTCTGATTCGCTGGGAAATTTCGGCCAGCCAATCGGAGAGTTTTTTTGAAATTTTAAACATTTTCAGCAAATCAGAGAACTTTATTTTATGACGTAACGCCGGGAGGAGTCATCCCGCATAGTTTTGACCAAATTGAGCCATTTTCCTCGGAATTTTCGCAAAATTAACTAGTTTTAAAGTGATGAGAGAACAAAAAAACACAATGTAGAAGTATATTACAGTTATTTTTTACCATAGTGAGTTAGTTTTTTTAATGAATTTCAATGTTTATGTACGAGTTTTTTCGTCATTAAGTTTGTGTATACAGTTTTAAATTTGTATTTAGTTGCCAACCTTGAGGATATATATTACATAATGACGCAACGCTATTGTGATGTTACACGTACTTCATGTAATGCAAATTATAGAGGTTTTACTGTTCATTGAAGCATTGCATGTCAAAGCATTGTATTTTAAAGCAAATTGTATGGACTTTTTTGAAAAATAAAAGACCTTTTCGGGAGACCTATGGTTTAGTGAAAAGTTTTTAAATCCGCACTACATTTCAATTTTAATTCATCAAATTCAATTTTTTAGTAATTATGATATTATACTATATACAATAATTGTAATTGCTCTGAGGAGTGTATATAAAATTGTGAAATGTATAAAAAATAGCATTTTACCGTAATCAGCTGGATTATGATAGTTTGGACAATGAAAACCTTGTTCCTTCATATATGGCAATAGGGCATCAACTGTTCCTTGATATAAACAGTTACCTTCAGCCAACAAATAGAGCTAAAAATAAGACAAATTAACGACAGCTAGAATTAACAGAAATGAGTAAAATGCACATCCACGAACTAGCTATACTTATTATTGAGTTATTAACTTATGTAACCTAAAAACCACAGGATCCAATCGCTTTTTAACATGATTTGGGGTTGATGTATGTTTACATTTCTCATTTTCGGGTTGTACTCTTCATAACTGATCATAAGACTTTTTCAAGATTTTTAGTTATAGTTGGAACATTCTCTAAATATGATCGCGAATTCTACGCAATGTGGTTATAATATGCCTTTCTTTACAACTCTTGATTTCCGTACCGGCAATTATGGCCATATCACATGTTCTAGCTTCAGCGTGTACGTGCATGCAGCAAATCCTCTTTCTATTTAACACTAATGTTTTTTGCATGTAAAATAGCCTTTACTACTTGCACATTTACATTAAAATCATTTGTTGTAAAATATTAAAATGAATATAAAAATACTTACTTTATCAAATCTTTCAAATAACTTGGCACTTGGTTGATGAATTGTGCAGACAACAATACGACCATTGGAAGCTAGGGTTTTGAGCAGGTTCATGCACTGATAAGCTGATGCACTGTCTAAACCACTACAATAAATGTAAGGTATAGTGATTTAGCCCCGCGAAAATCCTGAAAGATAACAATACAGAATGAACAGAAAAACAGAAGTCGCCGGTCGTCGTAGACTTTGACATAGGCCTACGTCTGACGTCGGAAGAGTTTAATTATAACAATGAAAATCTCAACTTCAATAGCTCTGAATAAATTCGATAGCTCTGATCTGGATAACAGCTCTCCCTTGAAATAATGTCTGATAGAGTAGTGAGGCGGATATGTGTAAAATTATTGATCAGTAGTTCCCGTTGAGGTTAAAAGCATCAAACTTTTACAATTGATGTAGTTTTATTTGCTTAATAGATATTTGAAGTGTGGCCATCGCTATTTTGCTGTTAACTCCTGAAAACGGGTGATTGGTGATTTTCTTCTATTGAATTCTATTATAGCCAAAACATGTGAAATTTTGTATTCAATTACAACAAATATTACTTGCATAATCAGAAAGCTTACAAAAAACTGCATATAAGACATTTAGACAGTTTTTTGAATTCTGAAATAGTTTTCGAATTATAAACTGTTAAAAACGCATTTTCAAACATCGAATAATTAATTAGGGACTTTTAGCGAGATAATGTGCCTAATTTACAGCAATAACCATTTGAAGAATCAAAAAACTGTTTAAAAGTCTTTTATGTAGTTTTTTACAAGCTTTCTGATGATGCAAGTTATATTTGTCGCGATTGAATTCAAAATTTCACATTTTTTGTTGTAGTAGAATTTAATAGCAAATAATGCTAATAGCATCGTAACTCTCTAAAAAAAACAGTTTCACGATGGCGCCACTTTTGCATGTTGTTCTACTCATAAAAAGATGCTACTGTGCACAATTTGGTGCTTTTAACGATCTTCGGAAACATCCATGCACATATTCGCCACACTAGAGGGATCGTGGAGTAATTCCTTCATATGTAATGTACTGTACACACAGACTACAGAACCGTATATCAGATTTGACCTGAAATATTTGGGAAATTGATAATTCTATATTCAAAATTACCAATCTTTTACTTTTGCCATTTTGTACAAATAATTAAATGACGACCATCACTTGAGGCAAGCCTGCGGTCAGTCAGCGATTGGCTATTTTGAAACAATGCTTGAGAAATACATTTACAGCTTTATACATTGGCAAAAAATCATACCTGGTTGGTTCATCCAGAAAAATAATCGGCGGGTTATTCACCAGTTCTAATGCAATGGCCAGCCTCTTGCGTTGTCCCCCCGAAATATCATTGCATCGTGTATTACACAGCTCAAGTAAACCCAGTTGATTTAGAATGCTGTTCACCTAAATATTGATTGGTAATGCTTAAAAAGGATCACAGTTAAATGGAGAAAACGTTTACACGACAAGTACATTATCTTTCTCCAATGAATGCGCACTATCTAAAGTAGCCGTCTGCATGGCGAGCCTTAATATGATGAGTGTGGCGAGCCTTAATAGTTTCAGATGCGGGCTAACTGATTTCCAATTTCCTTCGTTATATGATGCAATAGTTGACAGACGTCCTCGAAATTCTGCCACTGGCTGGTGACTAGAATCCTGACGGTATTAGTCCAATAGGTTTGTTGCAAATTCAAACAGTCATGAGGCTCTTCTATTCGATGCTATTCAAATTCAGCAAATTCTTTCTTTCAAATTTATAGAAAATATACTAATTTTGTAAACATTTTTGTACAATGGTTGTACGAAACTTCCAGGGATGGATTACCGGAGGCTTCAGGGGGTTCGCTCCCCCTACGTGCTTGCATGCTCAACTGTCGTATCACATGAACCATGACCGGAGCTTGATGAGTAACCCCCTTCCATCCTTCCAGATCATCCCTGAAGTTAGACCAAAGATTGCATGCATATTAGTTCATATATTCATTGAAATTTTTACTTCAAGCTTTTATATTTATCGACAATACTATACAGCAGCCAGAGAGTTGTCGGCAAATGAAATATTTCTCGGCGAACGGAAAATATGATGTGGACAAATGAACGATTAACAAATATATTTAACAGATAATTAATTAAACGACTAGTTTAAGGAGAGTTTTTAATACAAATCAATAACTTATAATGCATAATGATGCATATTATATTCGAAGTGTGTGTTATCTGTGGGACGGCAAGTTTTCTGAGAAAATTAAAAATGAGGCATCAGGGAAATGCAATTTTAACTTGAGATCTGTAAAGGCGATCGTTGCAGTCTGTCTGTGCAAAACCTTTACTGTAATTTCTTTGTGTATGTTGCCGTTGATGTTTTTAGCGATGGGAGACAATATTGACGTTGCATTTGTAATATGCTAGACTACAGGCTAAGTTTCAGGAACCAAAACTTGTTGCGACGCAAGTTGCACAAACACAAATGCCAAATGGGTTCTAGCATTGTCTACCAAGATACAGTATGATGATCTGGAAACGGAAGTCATTGTGTTATGTTTCTGAGTTCATGTTAATTTGTGCACAGTTAAGATGATTGTGCCCATTGTGTATTTGTATAATAAAATTTGTTACGTAATCGTCCAATAAGGATAGCCAAGATGAAACGTGTAACTATGCACAATGAGACGAATATTTAATGAAATTGAGACGAAGGATTTGTGCACGGTAAGGTACCGCTCATCATCAAACAAAGGTCTTCTATTTTGTAACTTTGAAGTTTCGGCCTGGCTTCCAAACCATCGCTGAACTGATAGACTATGGTTCTAGCTTTAATTATGTTAGCACGACTCTCTTTAGCACGGCAGTGTGTGACCACTGTACTCACAATCTGTACTTACAATTGCCTCCTTTTCTTCATGCCTTAGTTCTTTCTTCAGGTGGAGAGAAGCTGAGACCTAAATATCAAAATATTGCCATACATGAGAGGCCACCAAAAATTTAAGCCAATCCGGTCAATGTTTTAAAGTATACTACTAACGTTTTTTGTACGAAGATCCACTACAACCGTATCGGTTCTCTAGATCTGCATTGTTCTTATTGAAAACATTTTTCAAGCACAATTAAATATCACCTATTACTTGGCGTGCTGGCCATATAGTAAACCGCTGAATATATATATATAGTGCCTATAGCTCATTCTTTAATTCTACAGTTCAAAACAAATAAATGGTTTATTAAAGAAATTTAGAAGCAAAATCCAAAATAACTCAAAGGCAGCATTATAGAAGTTTCAGACTTGACTCCCATCTGATTGGTTAAACGCATATATCAAACGCATCTGATTGGTTAAAGGTCCCTTAATGGTAGCGAAAGTCAACTTTAAAATCTCTATATCATGGAAGTAAGGGCTATAAGAGTGCGGTAATTTCCCTTTGTTTCGTCTGGAGAAAAAAACAAACTTGCGTGACACGTACGCCCACCTCGCCCACCAATACTCAGCTTTTAGAGCTCAAGTCGTTCTCTAAAAAGTTACCCAGTTATATTTAAAACCCTCGGGCAAGTTATCGCGCTTACTTGAAAAAAAAAGAAGAACAAAAGTAGTTTTCTGACATTTTGAGCCAACACCTTCGCCATTGAAAACATGAGTTGTATGCAAAGATAGCAAGAATAGTGCATTTTATGAAAATAAGCTAAAATGGGTTATATACAGTATATATTGACACTTACCATCATCGACTCCAAAACGGTCAAATATGGCAATAAAATATCGTCTTGCATAATAAAACAAGACAACTTGCGAAATTCATCTGAGTCACGTGGACGTCCATTAATAAGTACCGAGCCACCGGCATCATTACTCCTGTAAATCAAATTATATATGATACACTACAAAATACCGTTAAATAACATAGCCCTAACGCATTATAAAACAGATTAAATAATTTAAACATCTGGGGTATGGTGTGCAGTGTACTTGAGGTTTGTAAAATAAAGTTCAGATAAATTTTGTTAGATTTTGAGGTTTAAAAGATTGCTTTGCCACAAAATGGTCAAGAACAGAAGAAGATTCAATTAATGATATAGCTAGAATGTTATATAAAGGAATTCTGCAGTAGAGTGTAAGATGCATTGAAATTTCGTTGTCTTGCTCATTCCGAACGTTTACTTTTTTGGGGTTGTCCATGCAGTAAAGAAAATCCAAATCAGATATTTTAATTTTGAATTCTGTATCCTATATAAATGCTTCATATACATGACTCGAACGGTCTTTGCCACAGTGTAGGTAAAGTATAACAAAAACAGCATAGAAATGGAGATGGATATGGATTCAACTAAATGAAAAATACACAAGAAAGACTTCCACGTTTCGAGCGGAAAGCCTTTCGTATCTTCGTGTCTTGTATCATGTAATACCATAATTAATGGAATAGAGGTTACGAAATTTATCAGAATAACAACATACAGTAACTTATTATCTGTGTTAGGCAACGTTTATTCATAAATCTGGTCCTTCACCGTCACATGCGTATTGTATATTTTGCTCAGGTAACCAATAGCAATATTTTAGGAAAATTACCTATCCGTGACTCGAACAATAGGGTAAATTGGAAATTGCTATTGATGGATTTGGCAAAAATACAATACACACGTGATGGTGAAGGAACATATTTATGAATAAACGTTGATTAACATATAGATAATGAGTTACGTGATTGTTATTCTAATGAGTTTCCAAACCATCTATTCTATATTAATTATGGTAGTACACATCATCATCACTAGCTGTCACATTGCACACGGGCTTATTAAAAACATGCGTTCAACCTCAAACTGTTAATATGTCAATATTTATTATGTATTGACTTGCATATTTAACATTAAACAACAATTTCAAATCAATTAATGAATGAAGTGGACATAACAAAAGATGACATGCACTAGATGCACCAGAATTTAAATTGAAAACGACATGCAATGGTCTTTTAAGGGTAGAAGAAACTAAATATTGAAGTTGGTCTTCATAAGGGTAGAAGAAACTAAATATTGAAGAATATAATGACCAAATTTTATCACGATCTCGATCGGCGGAAGCGGATTACCTTGCATTTTTGAAGCCAAAACGTAGCGTGCAATGACTGCAATGTCGCTATCGTTTCAGTTGGAAATAAATTCAATAATTACACATAGTAAGCAGAGATCTCACATACTTGTATCCAGCAAGAATATTAACCAGTGTTGTTTTCCCAGCACCTAATGAAGAAACAATTAAAACTAGTTAATATTAATAAATATTTAATGCGAATCTTATAGCTTTATGGATCTCAAATTCATGAATTTTAATTTAAAAGGCCTTACATATGGGATAAATTACACGTTAGTGATTATTAATTTCTTTTTCTAATTTGTTAAGACTGCTTTAATAAACTGAATGCACCAATTAAGGTGGAAATGTGCAGACTTTGACCGGCAGGCTAACATATTAGGTCGTTTTTCTTGAAATGATAAAAAGTACCATTTAAACTCTAAATCCCTAATCTGAAAAATTAAATCTCTTCACTCAATGTTAAACGCACAAGATCGGTATAATTACATCCTGTATATATTATAATAAAATATAACATTTATAGTATGCGCAATTATAAGCGTTGCTTGGTCGAGAAGCGTGCAATCGCGTACCCAGAGCAATTAATGCCTGTGCGCCGGCTAGGAAGGCATTGACTCTGGGGAAATTGTTCTTTATCGGCATGCACGATTGATAAACGTTAAACCACTCACAGCACAGGAAAAATTCAATTTCCCCAGAGCCAATACCATCCTAGCTCGCGCACAAGCATTGCTCTGGGTACGAGATTGAGAAGCGTGTTGCTAAAATTGTAAGGAGTAAACAAAAAACAATTTTAGCATGCGCTGTACTTGAAAAAATGTGATATTATCAATTATTACAATCGTCTGGCAATTTTCTGTTTAAACGAAAGAACTTGACTATGTAGCTATATGAAATTGACGAGCGACTGCAGGGCAACCGATCGAGCTAACTTCATGCTGAGGTGTGACCGTGTGAGAATTTGTAAATGAATCGATAACTTGAAAATGATGCCGCTGTAGCAACGAAACGTCGTTTAATAAATGTGATATCGCTATCATTTGTTTCAAAATTATTTTCAAAAAAGTTTTTGATATAAAAAAACAGAGCTGTTAATTAATTTAAAACTGTTCTTGGGTTATTCTTCGAATTTGCGTGGAAAAATCCACCCTTCGGGCTCGTTTTCCCGCTGATTATTTCTTGTTCTCCCAAACTCCCAGGCATGTTGCTATAGCTATATAACTGTATATGTAGAAACACGGAAAATATTTTCTATTTCTTAAATGCAATTGTACGTTGCTCGGTTTTCCAACTTTATTAAAAAGTTTGACATTACTTTATTCATTTGCTGATGTGCATGTGTGCGACGAACGAGAAGCTGGGGGAAAATTCTTGCCATTCTTAATATTTGAATTTTAGTGCTAAATGATATTATATGCGATACCTGAAGGACCAAGAATCCCAATAAACTCTCCCGTGTAAAACTGGCCTGAAACACCATGTAGAATTTGCTTGTAAGCTATAAAATAAATATACATTAATTTAATTATTCTTCTAAAACTTTCACCTCTGGTCATCATTAATTATATAATTCAACTCACTTTCAAACAGGAGTTTTCAAGAGGTTTACTTTATTTTTAACAACGTTTCGGACAGTTTTACTGTCCGTCTTCAGGTTATTACAACTTTGTAAATGTTGACCCATTGTGGTCAACATTTACAAAGTTGTAATAACCTGAAGACGGACAGTAAAACTGTCCGAAACGTTGTTAAAAATAAAGTAAACCTCTTGAAAAATCCTGTTTGAAAGTGAGTTGAATTATATAATTACATTAATTTAAGTATCATAATATATTATATAAAATTACATGAATCAGGTACTATGTCCCCGAGTAGTTTTTAAAGTTGTTTAATTGATATAGATAGATGACATGGTTTATTGAAGTTATAACTTACAGCACCAAATCGGCTAAATTATAAAAACCTTTACAAATATAAAATACATAGCTATATAGGCCTACATACACCAAAAACTAAACTTATGTTCTACCTTAAACCTATTTGTTTTACATTTTGGTGCCTAGAACATATACGCATGTTACGTAAGCATACGGTATTAGTGTTCCGAGGAGGTAGAAGTTTGCGCAGTTTATGTAAATTGTCTTCGATGATTTCCTGAAACAATTTATTATTTAACTGAATTCTGGTCTTCTACTAGATAGAGTTGTAATGTTCAGAACTCGTAGAGCCTGGTTGTAAGATAGTTCCGGATCTATATATAATACGCAGTGCACGCTTCTGCCAACTTATTGTGATAATGTGCTGTGGAATATTTAGCTTATATATTTTCAGGTAGTTCATGCACCCCTATACCAACGGAAGTTTATTCATTTTATTGGCACTACCTACACTGGCAAAGACAATTGATGATTATACTGTTACAGTGCGAATGCAAGTGATATAAAAGAGAAGGAGATCACATTCAAGTCATTTATCGTAATATCAAGTGACCACGGTACACCTGCCGGGACTGCTCTCCATTCCGATAAACTAGTAGTGACTGATTAACTTTACTCTTTGCTTTCGACACATCAGAAAATCTAAGATTCAGCAAACAATTGCCCTTGGGATGTTATTAATAGATTGTTTTTCTGCAAGAACACGGTGATCAATTAGATCAGATGCTTTTTTTGAAGTCGAAAAGGACCACTCTAGTAGTGTAGCACCATTCCCGTCAGTGGATTTTGCAAACGAGTGGATTATGCTAATAAGCGCATGCGTAGTGGATGAACGGTTCCATATTGCTGGGCATGACTTGGGCATGACTTGGGCATGACTGCTGCATTCACGTAACTATATCAATGACAAACTCTTCTGCTATATACCTTCGATAAGATGAGGGTGAGGGATTTTGGACGCAAATGTTTATTTGTATCGTTTTTTTCTTTGTATACAGCATGGACTGGGTCACCGATCGGTCACCAGTCAAAGTTTATCGAACGATATCGATAAACTTTGGTCTTGCTGGAAAAAGTCGTTCCTTGACGCAGTAAATAACCACATCCCAACTAAAACAATAAAGGATACCAACTCTCTTCCTTGGGTAGATAAAGAAGTTCGTCATCTCATTCGAAAGAAATACTCAGCATTAAAAAGATACCGCCAAAACAAGTGTGAAACGAGAAAACAAAAGCTAAGAGGCTTAAGTGACGCCGTCAAGTCGCTAGTTAAAAAGAAGCATAGGGAATATCTAAGGAAAATCGAAACATCATTTGCAACTAATCCAAAACTTTTCTGGACTTACCACAAAGCAATTTTGCATAGCAGATCAAAACAGACTTCTGACATTGTCTTCAACGGTATTACAGCAAAGTCTTCTGCAGAAAAAGCCGAGCTTCTGAATTCTTACTTCTCCTCAGTATTTACAACATCCAGTACTGACATCGGGGATTGTGATGGTGAGGCGTCTGAAACTGAGTCGGGATTGGGTGAATAAACAGTTGATGTGGCTGAAGTCGAAAATTACCTCAGAAATTTAGACATCACCAAAGCGAGTGGCCCTGACAAGATACCAGCCCGTCTACTAAAAGAATGTGGTCGGCACATTGCGCCTAGTATCTGTGAATTATTTAACGTATCCTTGCGTGTTGGACGACTTCCGGTAGAGTGGAAATCAGCGAACGTGACACCAGTTCACAAGAAACATCTGAAAGAACCAGCGGAGAACTACCGACCGATATCCCTAGCTTTGCCTATCATCGCAAAACTATTGAAACGTTGCGTATATGTAGGCGACTATACGAACACGTAATTAGCGCTATCTCCTTAGGACAACACGGTTTCCTACGCAATCGATCATGCACTATACAACTGCTGCAAGTTTTACATAAGATTGGAGAAAACCTTGACAGTAATATTCAAACAGACATTGTCTACTTGGATTTTGCCAAAGCTTTTGACTCTGTCGACTACTTAACTGGTCGGACCCAAAGAGTTGTCGTTGATGGTGTTGCTTCAGGTTGGTCCTCAGTAACATCTGGTGTACCACAAAGTAGCATACTTGGTCCAATGTTGTTTGTATTATTCATCAAAGATTTACCCGACATCATTCCCGATATATCAGAAACTGCTTTGTACGCTGACGACACAAAAACATTCAGGAAAATTACTTGCGAAGATGATGCTCGCCTATTACAACAAACCCTGACAAACCTAGCCACCTGGAGCAATACCAACAACATGAGGTTCAACGAGTTAAAATGTAAAGTGTTGACTGTGTCGCGAAAGAAACAACCTGTGGACTTCACATACCGACTGGGCTCAACCACTCTTACTCATGTTGAAAAAGAGAAAGATCTTGGGGTGACAATGACTGGAAAGCTTTCATGGGATTCTCATATCCATGAGATCACAGCTAAAGCCAACAAGCTGCTCGGTCTATTGAAGAGAACATGCCCTTTCCTGACTGACGTCAGCGTCCGACGTACTTTGTACCTTTCGTTGGTAAAATCCAGTCTATGTTATGCCTGTGAAGTTTGGTCCCCATACATCATCTGCTCACAGAAGACAAAGATAGAGCGTGTGCAGAGACGAGCCACTAGATGGATATTGAAAGCTAGAAAGGGTGATTCCAGCTACAACGAGCGTCTCGTTGATCTGAACTTACTACCTTTGTGTTATGATAGAGAGATAAAAGATCTAATGTTCTTCTACAAGGCTCTTTATGGTATTTCCGATCTCAATGTTCATGACTATGTCTCGTTTGTAACCCATAACCACTCCCGTCTATGTCGTAATCCCAACCTGTTGCTCAAGACTCCATTGTGTAAAACCACAACATATCAGAACTCATATTTCAACCGGATCGTGAAATTATGGAACAGTGTTTGTAAAGTAGCTCCACCAAATACATTTTCTAGTGTCAAAACATTTAAATACTACCTCTTTAATTATTATTCTATGTTAGTATCGACCGTATTCGATGTAAACTTGTTATGTACTTGGTCTATGTCACGTGACTGTTCCTGTCATAGGAGTTAATTGTCTTGTTGTATAAACTTGTTATTAGTATTTACATAGTAAACTATATTTACATGTATTCTGTTGGAAAGGTGCCTTGCATGGATAGCGCAAATTATTTACGTTCCGTTCGCAACTCTTCCATTTGGGTAATATTTGTTCTTCGCATGCATAGTATTAGTACGTCTTTTCTAAATAATTATAATATTTACCCAATAAAGTATTTAAACAACCGAACAAGTCTTCGGTGAAATCCTAATCAGCCGGTAGAGGAGAGATAATAAGAATTGGCGAAAGAAAGGCCTCGTTAATTTAATGCTTGCTAGGCTAGTTTCATCGGGTGTCCCATATAGCTATTGTAATGGCTTAGAGATACTGTCACGAGAAACAAAGCCAGGAGACAAACTGCTACGTTTTTTCACTTCTTTCCACCAGGCTGATGGTTTGCTTTCCTTCAAGTGTTTTCCTCTTCCCTGCCCCTGGTATAGTACTAGTATATAGCACGGCAGGTTTTCCCTTTACGATTCACTCGACTGATTTCGTAGCTGTCTGAATTATTCGAGGTTGTCACGAGATAGGGACCTCTGCTGTTGTTCATAAGTTGCTTTAATTAAGGTATAGATGGGGGTCACTCACCCAAACCCTAGCTCTTCGATCTAACAGGAAGAACAATGTCCATGCAGTCCTCTCCTGATAATCGTTTCCAGAAAAGAGAAAGTTTTTCCTTATACGACTCCCCGGCGTCTAACATAACTGGTACATCAACAGCCTGAAGGTAATGAATCGTTCCATTTTTGTTTCCACGATTCGTTTAAGTCAAAATATTTCGGTCACGTTTTGCATAGGGAACAGTTTTCAAAAGTCGTTTGTGCCATAAGTTCTAACAAATACTCTGGCAAAGATCGAGTAATTAAACGAGCCCATCTATCCGTCGATTAAATCCTTATAATTATATACCATTTCACAAAATTTATTCCAAGCCCAAGGGGTGCATCATTCATGGTTAACAATTTTCGGAATATACCATTCCTTATAAAATATTTTTTAAAGCTTGTTCCTTACGAATTCACGTTTGAATCGAGAACTATTTTTATACACCCTGCATAGTAATATAATTGGTTATATAATTATAATTATGGTATGGATGCAGAAAACTGATTTTCAGTTAAGCGGTAGGTTGGGAGTGTATAATTAGGCTGCGAACTATAAATATTATTGCTAAATTGTATCTTCTCAAGTGATCAATTTAATTAATTTGACCCTGCTATCAGTATCGTAAGAGTTAAAACGATCTCAAAAGAGTTGTTCACGGAGACAAATGTTTGGGTAATTTTGACTCGTTTGAATTTACAATGTGAAAATGTCGTATACAATACCAGAATTCAATACTGGAGTCATGAATATACCTCAAAGATCTTATTTTATTTGTATTCATACATGAATTTCTTTCACATATCAGTCTGATTTGAGTTTGACACTAAGAACAACATATACGTATGTATAATTATAATGGTTTTCCAGCTAAATCGCATGCATACATGCACAAACTGCTGCCGGCTCGTGCGATAATTTAAGCGCGTCTATGTATATCTTCTTCTTCTCCGACCAAAATGGAAATAGGCATAGCAACATGTAAATATAAAGGCAATATAACTAAGAATTCTGTTGAATTAAATGTCCAAACACCACTTTGATTACCGGTCAAAGTCTATAACAGCTATTATTGGCCGGGGTAAAAAGAAGTTCCTAAATAATTCGCAATGTTATAAATGTGTATCGGGCAAAAAATCACAATAACACCAACATCACACCTCTAAGCATAAAGGCTAAACCGAAGCAAAACTATGATTACATCTGACTTTATGCTCTTTGAAATTTTCTTTTGTATTTCTGCTTATCTCAGCCAATTCAACTACGATCGAATATCCACTTAAGACTCAAGCATTTGCTGCAGGCAAAATCTCAAGGATAACTTCCAAGTACATGTTGACATTTGGCCAAATTCCATCATTACATGTGTATATAACTATAACTAGAGGTATACGGGATTAATTTTAAGCCCCACACGATGTCAATGTTTGCGCTAGTAAGTGCGACGTTTAATTAAGTTAATTTTGACAGAATGGACTAGGTGCAATCCTGATGCAGCAATTATTTAAATCTATGTTATATGTAATTTATTTTCATGTATTTTATATATCATTGTAATCCGTAATTTGACATTGGGAGCGACATATTATGCCCGACCGCTCCAACGTCGACATATATTATGTCCCACCGCTTCAACGTCGCTCTAGCCTCGCATCGAAATGTATAGGGAGACTCAAATAATTAAAAATAGAAAGAAACATCCTAATTGGCTCCAATCACGACTCTGCGGCCAGAAACATAAGGATATATAGGCCAATACAATTAAATTCAACTCTCCTATACATTGCCCTGCATTGCATTTTCCTACAAATATCAATAGCTACTGTCCATTGCATTCAAATAACACTGAATTTCTTCGTTACAGATTACAGAGGTTATGCATGCATGACGAGCATTAGCTGAAAGTACTGTGTAATGTCAAGTATACCTATAGTCAAACAATAGAACTCATATTGGCGGCAACTTGGCTAATAATTAAATGCAACTTCCTTTCAATTCTGACCAAAGCAGCAAAATGGTAATTACTGTAGCGTAGCCGTGTGAGTTCTGAGTTTTGATCACACTGATTCAAAACATGCGCTCGGTTCTAAGCCGCTTTATTCTAAATAAATTAAACTAATTACAGTATACGTAACGTGGATTCGTAAAGACACGTTCCGTGTCTTTGAATGAGGAAAAAATATTAAATGTACAAAATTCGTACAAAACCCTTTCTCAGTCGTACTGGATAAATCTATTTATATCGGCAGAACTTCTTGTTGACTATTCACACGGCCATTCCGATAGCATGTCGCTTTTAAATAAAATAGTGAATAATGCCTCAATGGCTTAGCTGTTATCTGCATGAGACATTTTCCCCAGTACTTGAGACTGACTTACATGTCGTCGGTACGGTTGTTATAGGATGCACACTCAATTGCTTGACTAGTTTTGAAACTTTCACGAGAAAGGCAGCAGTACAATTTTTAAGAAAGTTTGATGTTATCAGATGATGGCTAATGTTATGACGACATGCGATGAAAGAAAACGTGTCGAAATCTCACCAAGCATAACCGAACATGTTCGTGGCAATATTTGGTTTAATATAACACTTACATTCTTCTATATAAAATTTATAGTAACAATAGCAACCTGTAAAATGCATGTATACTTTTTGAGTTAAAATGAAGAAGGTAAAAATTTAATCGACGTACCATTTCTTGCGAGTTTTACTTTGTAGGTGAGATCAACAAATTCAAGGAATAATTCTCGCGTACATGCTTTCCAAACATCTTGTTCCGGTGAAATTCGTACGGCATTGCTCCTGGGTTTTGTAACACGGCATACTCTGGTCACTGATGGACATAGCTTCTCTGTAGCAAGAGCGCAGTCCTCGGTCAAGGCACTTTCATAGCTGTTGGATCTGTGCCATTGAACCGCCATCTTAAACTCAGCATGCAACGTCGTCAATATTATCAGTGCGGGGTTTGCTTAGATATATTTGCATGTTGATAAATGCAAATCAATTCAAACACAGCCAATATTGCATGTTTGAGCACGCTCCAGAATATTATTGGGCAATCACTCAATGTCTCTTCTGGGAGTTCTTCCTGCATATGTATATGCATGCATGCACCGTGCAATGTTCTAAAATTCCAACTTGGTGATTAGCACATGGGAATACTGTTTTGGTGCGGGCGCTAACAATATGCCGTATCAATGCTCTCTGCTCAATTGTGAGCTCAACAAACAAAACTTTTGTAAAATATTCTCACTGTAAATTACTCTCCATGGACATTGGAGGCATACAGGGTGTCCCCAGAAACCCAAAGCTATTGAAATAATGTATTGTTAGAATCTGAATGCCCTAGCACTAAGAGCTGAACGCAAAGATGCGTAAAATATTGAAAGGATGCATACTGTACTAACAATACGTTACTTCAATAGTTTGGGGGTTTTTTGGGACACCCTGTACTGTATTGACTTATTAAGAAATTAAAATATCTTTGTAAACGGCACGATTTTCTGCTCTTGGGAATTTAAAGCAGCTTCTTAAACAGTTCTTTATGCATAAAATTTACTTATGTCAAGCTTTTTTATGCACTCAAATATGGCATTCAAATTCTAACAATAATTTATTTCAAAGTTTTGGGACACCCTGTACAGGGTGAGTAAGGGGCCGATTACATGGAGCATTTTCAACCCCGGGGTTGAACTTAGCCCTGTTTACCGGGTTGAAATTTCAGCCCTGTCTGTAATACAAAACTCTATCAAAATCAAACGCGCGATTACATGACAAAAGGGTTGAAATTTCAATCCCGGGGTTGAACTCACCCCTGGGTTGAAAATTTTGTCATGTAATCGTTTCAACCTAGGGCTGAAATTATCATGAGTTATTCGAGCATACGTGGTAGTGACTATATTTATTACATGAAAACAAAATAAAGGCTTTTTTTACTTCCGGGAATCGATGCCGAGAACGTATAGTATAGCGTTTCAACCCCGGGGTTGAAATCGTCCATGTAATCGAAAAAAATTTCAACCTGGTTAACAGGGCTGAGTTCAACCCCGGGGTTGAAAGTTCTCCATGTAATCGGCCCCTAAAAAAAACTGATACCTTCGCGGCTAATTTGAATAACAAAGGTGTCAGTTTTTTTACTCACCCTGTATAGTCATAAACAAAAACGAAAAATAAAGCGATTAAAGTTCAAAATGAAGCATGTTTGACTGTATACATACTTAGTAAAAACTTTAAAACTCAGTTTCCTCCATATTTCTACTGTCGTTCTTGGTGACGAGCCTGACTCGAGGAATACCTTCGTATCATTCACGATCAACGTTTTACTTCTGGCATTCATATTTTCTTGCTCATCGCTAAACGACCTAAAGGCTTCGTTCGTCACTTTTAGGCCTACAAACCTATAGCCATATTTTCACTGCGAAATGACAACTTGCAAACACAATGCAATTGGCTGGAAATGATCACGTAATCGATATCTTCACTAGACTGTGAAGATATGGGAAATATCTTACGTACTGTGTATTTCTCAGAATGTCATTATCTACAATATAATAAATACCAAACAGTTGAATGCTCAGCTGGCTATACTATCATTGTATCAAAGGTTGAAATATATTTCTCTTTATATGTGGCACTGCCATTGGCTTAACCAAAATTGTTAGTTAGGAAAACCGACTTAACTTCATGGCGATATCGCGCGACCGAATACGCACGTGATTGAAATCAACCAACCACATTGTTTTGAACATGCACCAAACTTTGATGGAGTTAGAATCAATGGAGATTGCATTTCGTATGCGCGTGAGATTTGTCATCTCGTTCGCTTCGAAATGTAATGGAAATTACTTGGCTCTCAAAACAAATTTGGGACTCTCTAAACTGTATATGGCGTATAAAATTGCAAAATTTGACCAGAGCAATCTATGGGTGCTACGTACACGTTTGTGCTCAGATCGTACACACATTACCATTTCTAAATTCAGGTCATACATGATATAGACTCACGAGAATTTAAAGTCATAACCGTCATTATACGTCGTTATCTGTGAAAAAAAACATCTAACGGGCCGAAGCTGACGAAACCTAGTTTCCGCAACCGACCAAGTGACCATTTCATGCAACACTTACGGACCCCTATTTTTACTGTTAATAGTTTCTATCCATAGCAGCTTCACACAGGGCTAATTCGTCTCAATAAAATGTGATCGAACGGGATTCGTAATGGGATGACGTAACTTGAATGCTAAAGTTTCGTTTGCCCGTTGAATGCATATGTTTTTATATCCGGTTGTGCCGACATGTAGATAGACAGTAAGAGTTTTATAATACTATTGTTTGAGGAAACATCACGTAAATTTATTACTGCAAAGCTTTCGATCCGTAAGCCCGGATCTTCATCAGTGCTAATAATATGTGACTTGTTCAATTCACACGCCCTTTTATCACAGAGGAGAGACATACAGAGTTGTAACTAGTGTACCCACTTTTTTGTGCGCATGCTCGGCAAGTTACTAGATGCATGTATCTGATTGGATGACGACCTGATGACGACTGAATTTAAACTTGCTGAGCACGCGTAGTTGATCTTTTTTTGTCCGGTCGCTTGAAAAAAGTGGGTACATGAAAACGTAAGCTTCCGCAGTGTTTACGACGGTTAGTTACAGCCATGGGCGTACCGGGCGGGGGTGGGGGCGGAGGGGGCGGCAGCCCCCCCCCCCCAGTTTGTTGGGCAAACAAAGCCAGTCGGGCAATATTCGTTTCACAGTCGGGCAATATTGGCTTATTATAAAAATAAATGGGACAAATTCTGTCAATTTTGTGGGAAATTCTGTCAATTTTTGTTGGAAATATGCTATCTAATAGGAATTTTTCGTAATCACTCCTCCCCCCCGTCGACAAAATTTTGGAAAGTTTCGCCGGAAAATTTTTTTTGACAACGCGGGCACAATCCGAAAAGGTCGGGCAAATTTCTTTCCGCCCCCCTAATTTTTCCCTTCCCGTACGCCCATGGTTACAGCTCTGTATGTCTCTACTCTGTGCTTTTATATATCAAAGTGTCGTGATCTGTTGGCTCGCGTCATTTGAAATTCGCCTGAAAAAAAGTGGGTACATGAAAACGTAATCTTCCGCAGTGTTTACAATGGTCAGTTACGTCTCTGTATGTCTCTACTCTGTGTCCAAGACAAGAGAAATTGACTTTGCATATTAAAGAGAGCACGACATGTACTATATCTAGTGGCTTTGCCTCCTGATCTATAGTATTGTGCTTCTCGATTTCAATTGCAACTCTCTCATTTTGCGAGAGAACTTATGACTAACAATCGCCAAAATGGTCGCTTAATTTGTCCCATTTATTAGTCTGTGTGTTGTGACTCGATATCGTTCACTTTCATTAAGCATGTCTTAGATCTGAAATATTTTGACGGGAACTAATACTTTCAAGCACGCTATGTTCAAATCCGAAAAGTTCCCACTCCGTAGACCCGCAGTTTTCTCACAAAATGCTATTTTATCTTCAATAATTTCACGACAAATTTCTCATTGTTCAACGACACGGATCGACGACGATACACGATTATGTCACTCAAAAGGACCAATTTCTAATAACCAGTCTTCCTTTTAACAAAAGACCGGTTTTGCTCGAATCATTTTGAGTTATGCAATCTTATGCGTGTTGGACGTAAACAACATATCTTGTGTACAACTTTGAGAAAGTACAGATAACGTTCTCTAAAATCCTTAGTTCTAGAGATATCTCTATAAAATCACAAGGACATTAATGCGAAGTCTTTTAGCTATGTCACTGGCCTGAAAAATATCTATTTTAACGCGATCAAGGTATTTAAAACAGAAGTAACACGAAGCCAACGTAACGGCAAAGACAACGCTAAAATGAAATATTGTCGATTGGTTGCTGGTAGAACACTTAATTACGACAGGATCAATCTTAAATAACCTTAAACTATAAGGATAAATGTTCACATCAAAGACAAAGATTAGTCCCAAAGTATAAAATATGCTCTGTAAACTTACGACGAAGTGGAGAAATGTGCATGAGCTGTTTATTTGGTGATTTCAACGTATATGGAAGACCTCTTTCCAATAATATTCGCTTATCGCACAGTATAACACCAACTGCATGATTTAATGCAATGATAAGTTATCTCTTGAATTACATCTCAGAAACTGATTTGGAAATTTAAATGCTGATCCATTACATATAGATTACCGTTTTACATCGTTGTATAAAACATTTTGATCGCATGTAAGCAATTATTTCTCAGCACACAGACAAGCTCAAAGACTTAACATTAACGTCCTTGTACTGTAATTTTATAGAGATAGATCCAGAACTAGGATATTAGAAGGAATTATCTGTGCTTTCTCAAAGTTGTAGACAAGATATGTTGTTTACGTCCAAAAGGCATAAGATTGCATAACTCAAAATGATTCGAGCAAAACCGGTCTTTTGTTAAAAGGAGGAATGGTTAATAGAAATTGGTCCTTTTGAGTGACATAATCGTGTATCGTCATCGATCCGTGTCGTTGAACAATAAAAAAATTTGCTGTGAAATTAGTAAAGATAAAATAGCAGTTTGTGAGAAAACTGCGGGTCTACGGAGTGGGAACTTTTCGCATTTGAACTCAGCGTGTTCGAAAGTGTTAGTTCCCGTAAAAATATTTCAGATCTAAGACATGCTTAATTAATTCAATAAGGGGTCCTGCTACCTGAATTTTTTGTTCGCGAACTTATGATGCAACTTATTATGGTTTAATGCATATGCAACATGCCATATATCATTTTGAAGCTTATAACATGGCTATACAAATATTATCACAGATGGCCTCCCAAGAAAAAACTTAAATGTATAACAACCTTGCAAACCAGAGAAGTGAATTTTTAACTGTCTATATTTAAAATCTATCTAGTCAAAATCTAAGCATCCAAACTTGATGAATTTA